GCCCTTGAACCTTTACTTTGAGAGCTTTCCTTAGAGTGGTGATATATTCTTGTGAAAATCTTTGGTCAAGATACTGATTTCTGTGGCCACATACTTACAGAATATGTTTATCTTCTGCCATTTCTTTACCTTGTTTCTTTCTTCCTGTTGACATGCAGTATTTTTTTTTTTTTGGTGGAATGTCTGGAATGTGTCCTTTGCATCTGTAAATAATAAGGTCTTCCCAGATTTTAGTACTATATTTTAAAAGTTGGATATTATAAAATGCCTTTTGTTTAAACGTTTAGGCCGTTTCCCACTTCAGGCATAAGATAATCATTTTTGACCATTCTAAAATCACCAGGTAAGAGTCGGGTGGCCAGTGTGTTTTAAATCTGGATCAGAGAGACCGTTACTGATGCTTTCACCACATAGAAAAATGTGTTTCTTTTCATTGTAGTTTCATCCTCTACAGTCTCTGTTTGATCTATCTCATTGGTCAGACTTCCCCCAGAAACTACGTATGCTATCTGATTTTATGTATAATTAATTATTTTATGTGATTTCTGATACATTAGGGTGGAATTGTGTGAAATTGTGTTTTACAGGTAAATGGTCAAATATATTGGCAGTTTCATGTCTCATCATAATCTGTAATTAACTTCTCTGTGTTATTACTCACCATTCTTGAATCTTTACTTCTGAGTCATCCCTCAACTGGCTTGAATTGCAAATATGTTTTTTTTCCAGGAAATGGGTAGTATACTTTGTGCCTTGTTTTATCAGTTGGGAATCTTAGCTTCCAATTCAGAGGAACCATGACTATAGCCCCAGCAATATTAAAATCTCTCAGTTGTAGAGGTGAGTATTTTGGGAGTGGGTCTTATGATATTGAAAGGCCCCACTCCTCCCATGCACTCTTGGTTCCCAGACCATGTGCTTGACTCTAGGATACTAAGAGCACCGTTATATCCTAGAGGATAGCACTCCAGCCTCATAAGGCGTTGCCTTCCAATTTAGTTCAATTAGTACACTATTACATCATTCTAATCCGTGAATTTAATGGGCTTTGTTACTTCTAGAAGACTAAATCCTCAATTACGAACAGCAGCGTTGAGTAATACAATAGTTTAAAAGACAATTTGGTAAATCTATGGATTGTGTTTCTATAAGCAAGATGGGTGGACCAAATGAAGGTAACAAACCCAAATCCGGAATTAGTGCTTCTTTTAATGGAGAGAAGTGACTGCCCTTTCGCAGAAGAGCTCAGCAAACTCAGTCTGCGATCAAGTAGTTGGTGGGTCTTCTTGCTGTGGTTTTGAATCGGAGGCTCAGAGCTGGCTGCTGCTGGCAAACTGGCCTCCTGCAGATGTGGCAGTCAAGTCAACATCAGTGAGAGGAAGTTCGTGCTGTGGAGCTAATTTTCTGCTGCTTTGTGTACCTTGTTTTTGTTCCCATTGAGCATGCACTGCATTGGTTGGGGAAGGAGGTTCGTTGACGTTCTTGGGACAGATTGTCCTGCCTCCATAGTGGAAGTCTGGCTGCGCATTCTTATGGAAAACAAATAGTCATACACTGGGCTCATTTCAGTAGGCCCATTTGATGCACATGTCTCTTCTCCAGATGTCCTTGTCACCAGTGCTCCTAATATTTCTTCTTTCAGGTCCCTATCCATCTGGCTAAACTTATAGCAGCTGCTCATCAGGCCATGTTTCTTCAGCCAAAGTAGACCCTGGATATATTGCTTGAAGTTCTGCTCACAGGGAGAGAGTTTCTGCTCTGCTGTCTTTTCAGAGACCACCCCTTAGAATGGATATAACCCTATCATAGTCCACTTATGATTCATGACAATGGAAGGTCAGTTGGAACTAGGCATCCAACTGTGTGTGTGTGTGTGTGTGTGTGTGTGTGTGTGTGTGTGTGTGTGTGTGTAGAGAAAGAGTGGCCTCTTCTCTGAGTCTTATTCTTTGTGATTAGTACCCCCATGTTTCACATAAGAGACTTTGTGAGTCCCTGAATTCAATGATGTAATAATTTACTGCCCTTGGAATTTTCCCCCCTACTTATACTGGCAGCTGCAAGAGATTCAAAATACTTGACTGAGGGACTCCTGGATGGCCCAGTAGGTTAAGTGTCTGCCTTCAGCTCAGGTCATGATCTTGTGGTTCGTGAGTTCTAACCCCACATTGGGCTCTCTACTGTCCACGCAGAGCCCACTTCAGATCCTCTGTCCCCTCCTCTCTCTGCCTCTGTCTCTCTCAAAAAAAAAAAGAATTAAAAAACAAAAACAGAATACCTATTTGATATACATAGGAAGTCCCTGAGGTTTCAGCTTAGCCTGGAATCAAGGATGTAGAGGCTGAACATGTAACTCTTTGTTTACATCCGTTTTTCAGGTTCTTCAAGCCTCTCACTTTCTGTGAGCTCTTTGATGTCTTTTCAATAAACTCCTTTTTCAATCAGTTAGTTTCTTGTGCTTGCAACCAAGAACCCAGACAGTTAAAGGCATTAATTTTAGGAGATGAATGTAGAAAACAGAACCTGAGCAACCTATGAGAATAATAGATGAGTTAGAAGTAACTCAGATCTCATTAATTTCCAGAATGTCCTTCAAACTTCAAAGGCAGTGACAACAGGTTCCTTAAATCCTCAATAGGAATTTCATTCTAGTGAACACAGGTAATAATGCAGTCATCTTGAAAATTAATGAGACTTAAGTCTTTAACTGTTTAGATCCTTCTGTTTATTTTTAAGTAAGCTCTACACCCAATGTGGGGCTTAAACGGTCAACCCTTAAATCAAAAGTTCCATCCTCCACTGACGGAGCCAGCCAAGAGCCCCATGTCTAGATTCTTTAAAAAATTTTTTTTCAATGTTTATTTTTGAGACAGAGAGAGATTGAATTTTAAGAATTTTAAGTCTGTGTTCATGAGGGATATTGACCTCATGAATCCTTTGTCTGATTTTGGTTTCAAGGTAAGGCTGGCTTCATGAAACCAGTTAGAAAGTGTTCCATCCTCATCCATATTCTGAAATAGTTTGTATGGAATTGGTATTCATTCTTTCTTAATGCTGTACATGGTGGCATTTGCCAGTGATGCTATCTGGGCCTGGAGTTTTCTTTGTAGGAAGGTTTTAAAATATGAATTCAGTTTTTAAAATACATGTAAGAGTATTAGGTATTGGTTTCAGTTTGAATAATCTTAGGCAGTTTGTGTCTGTCAAGGAATATATCCATTCCATGCAAGTTGTTGAATGTATTGGCTTAAAGTCATTCATAATTCTCTTATCCTTTTAATGCTTGTAGGAGCTATTTGATGTTTCCTCTTTCATTCCTGATACTGCTAACTTGGGTCTTTCCTTCTTTTTCTTGATTAGCCTCACTAGAAACTAATCTATTTTCTTTTCAAAGAATCAACTTTTGATTTTATTGGTTTTCTTTATTCTTCATTTTCTGTCCAGTGATTCTCATTTCTTAATTATTTTCTTCCTTCTGCTTACCTGGGATCTAATTTGCTTTTCTTTTTACAATTTTTTAAAGATAGAAGCTTAGATCACTGATATGACACATTTCTTCTCTTCTGATATGAGCATTTATTTAAAACATAAATTTCCCTCAAAGCAATGCTTTGGCTGCTTCTCACAAATATTGATATAATGCATTTTATTCATTTTGAAATATCTTCTTATATTCTTTGTGTTTCTCATTTAGCCCACTGGTTGTTTAATTTCCAAATATTTATGGATCTTCCTGATAGCTTTCTGTATTTTTGCCCTCATATTTTTGCAGTCTTTGGCTTTTTGGTATGCTTTCTGGGAGATCACCGCCTAAGTCAGAGAACATGGCACTGATCTGAGCCCATGTTGTATGTGAGCAGCCTACAGACTGCCTCGAACCTATGCTGGTAGGCGGCTGTATGTGTCAATTATGGGCTTGTTTCTCTTGGCTGGCACGTGAGAGGTGGGGCCAGCCCTTCTGCCATCGCTGCCCTATTCCAGTAGCAAGCCTGAAGGTGGGAATTTATTAAAAGTCTACGTATGAGGGCACCACATCCCCAGTCTCTCCCTTTACTACCTAAGAACTCTGACAGCCAGGCATCTACCCTTATACAGGACACAGAATCATCTTCAAAAAAATAGAATGGCTCCAGAGAAAGCTCTAATGCCAGGGCCAAACTCCTTGCAAGAAAACTATCTTATTTCCTATTGACTATCTGTATTCAACATGTCACTGAAGGCTTGTGGTCTGAACGTAGCATGCCAATACTTATGAGAATTGAGCGCTCTCAGTTTTGTTATATTTATAGATGACTCACAGATGAAGAGTGATATTTGCCTTCTGACGGGTGGAACCCTACCCATAGCATCAGAACTATGCTATTACATGCAATCTTGCTTTTAATGGCCCAGCACCCAAAATGCAAATGGTAGTTTGCCAAATGACCAGATTGTAGACAATTTTAACTTTCTTCTTAGTGCATTTCTGTATTTTCTAACTTCTCTACAGTGAACATATATTACTTGTGTGTTCAGATGAAAATATTTTAATATGTTAAGGTAAAAATTATAATTGTGAAAAAAATATAAGTGTCAGATCCAATCTAGTGAGCATGGCTTAAAGTGTAGGTGCTATGAAACTAAAGACTTAGCAGTAAACTGAGCTAATCAGATCTATCTCTAAAAGTGTTTACAAGAGAAGTAATTGACAAAAGCTTTTAACGATACCAATTTGACTTTTTCGTGAAAAACAATTGCAAGAGGCCCAAGAAAGACCATCTGGCCCAACTCCCCACATCAGAATTCCTGAGGAAAGTTAAAATTATACTGTAGTCAGGGATTTAACAGGATAAGAGTATCACTGTCTCTTCTCCTTGGCCCCCTACTCGCCGGTGATGGTGTTCTTGCAGGAGAAAGGACAGGAGTTTTGAAGATTTTCCTACTACCTTCTTTTTTAGAGAACAAACGATGCCTATGATCCATTTATTCACTAATGCAGTTGTTCCTCTTTGTCCCGTCCGCAGGCAGCTGGCTAAGAGTCTTGGGCAGGCTGGTGAAATCGAGCCTGAAACAGAAGGAATACTAACAGAGTATGGTGTGGATTTCTCTGATTTTTCTTCAGAAGTCCTAGACTGTCTCCCTCAACGCCTCCCCTGGACAATTCCACCAGAGGAATTCAGCAAGAGAAGAGATTTAAGGTAAATATCCGAAGCTCTTTAAGAACAACACATTTCTACCTATCTTCAAACTTAACTTTCTTAGGGACGAGGCTCAGATATTGCCATCTTTCTACCAGCATTCAAGTTCAGTTCTATTGAGAATTAAATGCTCTGTACCAAGTATTGCAAATTATGGTGCGCAAGATAAATCACTGCCTGTTTATGTACGGCTAGCCCATGAGCTAAGAATGGTTTTCATAATTTTAAGTAATTGGAAAAACTCAAAAAGAAAAATAATCTTTAATGAAAATTATATGAAATTCAAATTTTAGCATCCATTAAGTTGTGTTGGAACACAGCCATGCTGTTGTTTCTATGGCTGTCGTTTCGCACAACAACATTAGGGTCGAATAATTGCAACAAAGACCATATGGTGTGCAAAGGGCTCTCTGGCCCTTTCGAGAAAAAGTGTGCTCGTCTCTCTTCTAGACCATTCTAATTTCAACAGATACAGTTGCCATCTTTTTTTTCTCCTTGTTATGCCCATAGATCTGGTTGAATAAAGACAGCGTTATCTGGTCAGAAGTACCTTCCTTTAAATGGGCCTCTTCAGGCACAGAGCAAAGGATTCAAAGCTTCTGTGCTTGGAGCTTCATTTTAAAGCTTTACTTTTAGGTCTGGAATTTGTTGGAAAGTACTTTTGTGGTATTTTTATAACAACATCTTCTTTGAAGATGTTTCTTCATTGTGGGATGTTAGTTCTTTTCTGATATTTCTCTTCAGAATTTGGTTTCAGTACTGGCATTCATTTTGGATGCCACATGGAGATATTAGAACCAAGAAACTTTTCATACAGCGCACTGAGGCGGTGGAAGGGTTTTCGCTAAGGTCATCCCATGTCAGAGTCTTTTCCACCACACTCGCTCACTTCATGCGGCTGAACTTACGATACCTTCGCCCTTGCTGCCTGTGACTCCCCCTCGTTTGAGAATCCTCCTTCTCTGCCCCCTCTTGCTCTTGTATCTTTTAGGAATGTACTGCCTTTTTTTCTTCTCTTGCCAAACATAGGCAAGGAAAAGGAGATGGCAATCCCCTTTCCTACTCATTAGTAGCTCTGATGGAACACACTTTATATTTGAAGTCACTTAACTGAAGTTACCGTCCTGGCTTTCGGCAGTAACCACCTGTCACGGAACTCCCACTGGTCAGCTATCTCCTCATGAGCTCTGAGATCTTGGGTCGAAACCTTACCCTCTCTGAACCTCCTTTTTCTCATATACAAATTGAAGGGCTTGTTTTCTGAGCTCTTTTCCTAAACCTAGGAGTCTGTAAAAAATTTTTACTAAGAAGGAATGTCTGAACTGTGTTGTTCGCACTGTAGGTCAGCGTAGTGTTTCTGCAGTAACTATCAACATTTGAAACGTACCTACCCTTTCACCCAAAAACTTGACTTCCAGGAAACCATCCTACTCAAAGAAGTGTGCAAGGAAAGATGTATAAGAATGTTCATTGCTGCTCTGTTGTGAAAGTGACATTGCCCATACTTTGTCCCTCAACAAAGGAATGGTTAAATAATGTATGTCAACAAGACGGCATGAAGCTGCCATCCTGAAGCTACCATCAAGGAGCTTGATCCACTGGACTGTCCTAAAAGGATGGCCATAATATCTTGTCAGGTATATTATATAAAAATGCTCTCCAAGTGTATATACACATGCATATACATATCCGTACATATAAAAATATATACGCATCAATACAGGTCTGGAAGGAAATACATCAAACTGTTGGGAGTGATTATCCTGTGTGGACTCGGTCGAATAGCTGGTGGTAGGGAGGCAGTATTTTACTTCATTTTGCAAATTGCTCTATTTTCAAATTACTTTTTAAAATAACGTTTATAGGAGCGCCTGGGTGGCTTAGTCAGTTAAGCGTCCGACTTTCACTTAGGTCATGATCTCGCGGTTCGTGGGTTCGAGCCCCGCGTCGGGCTCTGTGCTGACTGCCAGCTCAGAGCCTGGAGCCTGTTTCAGTCTGTGACTCCCTGTCTCTCTGACCCTCCCCTGCTCACGCTGTCTCTCTCTCTCTCTCCTAGAAATAAATAAAAAATATTTTAAATAAAATAAAATAAAATAACGTTTATATCTTTTAAAAATTATAAATGGGAATATCGGAAAAGAGAGGCGCTCAGTCTCTTCTAGCCGGATTCCTAGCTGATGGATAAATAATAAGACACTTCAGCAGGCAGCCCTTCCAGTGCATTCTCTGTTCCCTCTCTTGGCTCCACCTCGCCTTTTTCGTTGGCCCCCGTTGCCTTCTGGTTTAGACCTCAGAGCAGGAGGCCTTCGTGTGCACAAGACCTCTGTGAAAATATGCCCATGTGTTCTCTGAGGGTCCCAAAGGTCCTGGGAGGCCACAGGGTGCCCCCTGCTATGAGCATAGCAACAGAGATTTTCTTTTTTAAATCTACTTACACCTTCCAACACTTTCTCCTTGCCTATTATCTCTAGGATTATGTTTCTAAAATTAAAATCTGATTTATTTTACTCCTTGGGCTTAAAATCTTTCAACTGCTTCCTGATACCTATAGTAGTAATCTCTAAACTTTTTTGAACATGCATTCCCAATAATGTTTATGTCTTTATTTTTAAATCACAAGTGTATTTACTACCTTGTTAATTTATCATGTACATTATGTACATAAAAGTGGAAAAGCAAGAATAAAAGAAATTCTGAAGATATTTTTATTTTAGTTTAAAAAGGTGTAGAACACTGTTTACTTTAAAAAGGTATAGAACACTTCACATTAATAATTTTACTTTTGGTGAGAGCAGTGTGATTGAAATTCTTTGTTATTTTTTTCAATTTTTGTTTTCACAGCCTGATATAGAAACACAAAGGTCTGATTATAAGTTCAGTGTATTCTGATACTTAGTTTTAGATTTAATGGTTATCAGAACTGAAAAAGATGCCTCAGAAGAAGTGAGTTGAACTTAACTAAATCGTAATTTATGCTCATTTTTTAGTCCTATTCACCAATTCTATTCAGAAATATAATCCCGCTGTAAATTTTCATCTTTTATGATGTGTGTTAGGTCTGTGAACTGATTTAAAGGTGCTACATGTTTTTAGATTTTTTTTAAATGGGTTCATAATCTTTGGTTATTCTTTAGTTAGCATCTATAAAAACTAGTTAGAAATTTCTGTCACGAAGTTTAAGTGTATAGATATGAGTAGTTTTGCAGCTTATACTCTAAGATAATTTTTAGGCCCCCAAATTGTATAACATGTCAAACACCCTTCTTAAAAATGTGGTCTTCAAAATATGAGCTTCTTATTTTATTTTCGTTCAGAAATCAATCACTTTTTTCTTATTGTTAAGACGCCACTTTTACTTTGAAGGAACAGATTTAGTGTGTTTACTTTTCCCTAAGGACCTGCTGGGTAACATATGATTGACAGTCATTGTTTTGAAATCATAATGTGACTGATGATGAATTTGTATTGGGAGCAGAAGAAATGTCAACTTTGCTATTTTCATGGTGTTAGTAGAACTAGTATAGTTGAGCATTACCTTTAGTCTGTGCATCTTTGTAATACTCTTTTTTAACCACTTGCCTATTTTGTAAGGATTAGTTTAGCTAAAACTAGGTAATTTCCATAAATCCATGTATGGGGCAAAGGCAAATACCCACTGATCACAGCTGGCTGAAAGCATAGGAAGTAATGAGAATGCCAGTGTCCTTGCCTCTGTGTTGTGGAGCACCAGCTCTTTCATCTGCACACCCCACTTGTCACCTAACCCACTTACCTTGTGAGGGCACCAGGGTTAACTCTTCACATATTTATGCAGTCATAGTTAACTTCTTAAGTTTTACAATAGAAGATAAACATAAAGAGAAGTCCACTGTATGTGGAAGTGTTTTGATCTGACTACCTCTTCCTCCTCATTGGTCTTATGATAGATGTATTCAATTTTTCAACCAACAGATGTTAATTGAATACCATTCATGGACAGTGGGGATTCCGTATTTGGATGGAGTTGTGACAGAGGGACGAGGTCCTGGGCACAAGAGTTTGTAGTACTATGGTTTCTTCTGCTCAGAGGTGCAGTGCCTTCGAAGAGGTTTTTAATCAAAATTAATTTTCCTAGGAATGTCAGAGGAATTCGTAGTGAGTCCCAGCACCCTCTAAAAACTGTGTGCTTTGAATAAACTAATGCATATTCTGTAAACTAAGTAAAACCTTGTCTTTTTCCCTTTTCTGTCTTCTGTATACAACTATTGATATATATTATTTTTACATGTGTACATGAAACATATGCCAAGTACTAAGTTAGTTACTGGAAATACAAAGACAAGCGAGGCCCAATTCTTGTTCTTGAGGAATTTACTCTTTCTCGGGGAGACAGATTTACCCTCCGATAAATTACAGTGGAGTATATAGCAAGTGCCGTAACATCAGCATGAGCAGGCTGCCAAGGGCCTTGGTGCTTGAGCTGAGATCTGGAAAGTGAGCAGGCATAGAGGGAACTAGAGTGACCAAAGCAGTCTTCCTTCAGTGATAGGCTGTGGCTACAGAAAAGGTGACACCTTCCTCTAAGACTCCAGACCCTTCTGTAGACGGACTCACAGCTCCAATGGTTTTGACAGCTTCCTGACCCCTTCTGCTCGGCCACCCTGCCATGGAGCCCGCAGTGCTCCTCTGGCGGTAGCTACGTAAGGACTTCTACATACCCGTTTAGGTTTGGTATTTGAACAATTATATTTGGAACAGAAAAGTTCCATCAATCTTTAAACCTCATAATCCAATTATGTCAGTAAAATTCCAGTTTTTTAGTCCAGTGGAATTGGGGTAATATTTTGCAAACTGAAGTTGAGAGAAATAGTGTTTATTTTGAAAAGAAAAATGGTTGGTTAGCAATTTTCAAGAAGGAAGGCTGGTGTGAACTCCGAGGGGTGATCTGGCCCTTCTGATCAGGAGCACCGTTTTTCTGGACCTTGAGCTCCAGTCTCTGGAGAATCCCTGCTTGCATGGCC